ATCCTGAGTGCTTCCAAAAACAAGAGGAGATGATGGTCTTGGACAACAAAGATCACTTCTGATACACAATTTCCACCAGGGGATGAGAAACTCTGTCCTGAGAAATTGAGGGAACCTTTCTAGGACCAACCTGTGAAGAGCTCAGTGGCCACAAGAGGGCGGCAGAGAACAGCTCTCCCTGCAGAGCCAGCCCAGGGCCCTGGGTGCTGAGAAAGGACTAGACTGCCCAAGCTGGGGGAGTCTTTGACTCCAGCAAGAACCCATGAATTTCTGAATTCAGGAAATCTCTCCTGCATCCCTTTCCACTGGCATACCTTATTTTCTTTGGCTTCTGAAATGCCATCACCCTCTCCAGCCCCGTTCCCTTTTCTGGTCTCAAACACTGAATAATTTTTCCTTTATGGCTGTATAGCAGATGACATCCCAGTTAAAAGAGATGATGCTTTACAGGATCGTAGCTGATAAATAGACCCTGAACTGGAACCCATGTTTTTTTGATTCTCAATACAGAGGTCTTCCCATGGGTGCTGACTGCTGCTCCTAATAGAAAAATATACTTTAGGGGCTCCTGGGTGGCTCAGTCTGTTAAGCGTCCAATTTCGGCTCAGGTCATGATCTCACAGTTCATGGGTTCAAGCCCTGAGTCGGGCTTTGTGCTGACAGCTAGCTCAGGGCCTGGAGCCTGCTTCAGATTCTGTGTCTCCCTCTCTCTCTGACCCTCCCCTGCTCACTCGTGCTGTCTCTCTCTCAGAAATAAATAAAACATTTAAAAATATGTACTTTATAGTCCCCAGTGGGAAGCAAGCTCACAACCCTTGGTGTAAAAACCCGATGTTGGGGCGCCTGGGTGGCTCAGTTGGATGAGTGTCTGACTTTGGCTTGGGTCATGATCTCATAGTTTGTAGGTTTGAGCCCCATGTCAGGCTCTGTGCTGACAACTCAGAGCCTGGAGCCTGTTTCAGATTCTGAGTCTCCCTTTCTCTCTCTACCCTGTGTTCCTTCCTCACGCTCTGTCTCTCTGTCTCTCTCAAAGATAAATAAACGTTTAATAATAACTAAAAAATGATGTCAATGCTGTACCCTTCCCCCATGTGATGTGTTTACATACATGACCGGTGCTCACAGGACTGTTAACCACAGAGCACAGACATGTATGTCACAAACACTGTGCGGTGCACACACTCACCCTCAGCGCGCACACACCCTTCAGTCCCTCAGAATCCCACAGCTCCTGCCCCTCTCTTCCTCCTTCCTGAGCTGGTAGAGGAAATTCTCTTCATTCATCATTTGATCTTTTTCCTGTGTTTCCAGAGTCTCCTCAAAAGTGCACACAGGGAAGCTACTTTTCCCATTCTAATCTTAGTCCTTCCTTGCACAGCCTGTGTTTTCCATTTCCCCTGGCACAGCTTGGAGTGACAGAAGAAACAGAGGGAAAACTGGTGGTCTCTGAGCTCCCTTCCCTGCATCTTTCCTGTTGATCATGACCCTCCTGCCCAGGGAAGATCTGACCAATCTGTGATCCACCAGCTTTAGCCCCACATCCTCTCAGTGTCCCTACACCCTGGCCCACTTCCCTATCCAGAAGAAACTTCTTCCATGCTTGGGGATGAGGTCATTAGGTTCCAGCTGCATAAATTCTTGTTGAGCACTTAGGGCACAAAGTGCAACAAGGAGATTTGAGTTGGACTCAGTAAGAAATTCCCAGCACAAGGGGTTGAAAGATGCAGCTTGTGTGAAATACAGCAAGAAGGGGAGTGATGGGCATGGAGGAAGGCACTTGTGGGGATGAGCACTGAGTGTTATATGGAAACCAACTTGGCAATAAACTATTTTTAAAAAAAAAAGAATGCATATATAGCCTTCCCAGAGGACTCCAAAAGACAAGGACTTGGTTTGGCCCTGTCTTGGCAGTACTGACTAGAAATAGAAGTCTTCATTATGTTTTTTGGTCATCCCAGTCTTAGAAGGTGGCATACAGAGTCTTCTGGGGACTGTAAGGCCCTCAGGCAGAATGAGTGGAGCCTAGAGTTAGGAAGTATAACATGGTTACATCATTCCCACATCCTGGAGGTGGAATTGGGGGAGAGTAGGCCTGAGCCCTCCACTGTATGGTCACCCTCCCATCCTGGCCCCACCTCTTTATGGCCCTCCCTGGTCAGAGCAGGGCCTCTGAACTCTTCCACTGCAAGCCCTTTGTGAATGTCTCAGGACACAGTCTCCACCCAGCTTCCAATATGGGACCCTGCCATACCCCTGTGTATGAGTATGATGCCATAACCCTGTGCCTGGCAGAGCAGAGACACCTACTGCTTGTGCTACCCAATCCCTCCCACCCAAAGCATAAATAGCCTTCCTATTCTGGTCTCCCATCTCCTCTACCCCTTACCACAGCCTGAAACCTACTGGAAATTTGCACAAATCACATCAGAGACATCTTCAGTTAGGGGTCTTCAAGTTCCCCAGGGACAGTACACACACATAGACACATGACACATGCACCTGCACACATGCAGATACACAGATGCTCACATTCATGCACACACACGCATACCCTCAAGTTGCACACATATACATACACACATGTCACAGACATTCTTATATGTATGTAACACAAAGACACATACTTACAAACTCATACATTTACACAGGCATGTACACACAAGCGTACACAGTTATACACTCATCACACTGCACATATACACACCATTCTATTCCTTCTTCTAATGACCCAGAGCTCAGTCCTCTAGATTCTAGAGATCTAGACTGTCCAGAAGAGAGCATGGAAATGACAGGAAACCAATTTCCAGCTTCCTGGTCCACAATGGAATTCCTTTGCTATATTCCCCTTCTTGCCACAGAGTTTCTAGGACTCTGGCCCATACCATGGAAGGTGAACCTCAACAGGTAATTTATTCCTTCATATAAGAAACATTTTACAACATCTACCTGCTACCTCCCACCTCACCTCTCACCCAAGACAGGCCTGAACCTGAGGCACACAAAAGTGTAAGACCCTCTGTCCAGTGCTGTGGTGGAAAGAACAAGAGCTCAGTAGTCAGGAACCTGAGATCACATCCTGCCTTTGCCTCTTAATAAAGTGTTATCTTGGGACTTGACATAGCCTCCCTGAACCTCGGTTTCATCACCTATAAGATGGGGTTAATAAAATTTACCTAATAATTCTGTGAGGATTAAAAGACAGTTAAACCTTTCATTAGCAATATGTCCACCTGGGGAAAGCAACCCCATCTTATTCCCCAGTCCCCATGGTGAGCGTCTCCTCAACATCCGTCCAGTCCTGGCGTCCCTGACACAGAAACCTAGTCTCCTTCAGCCTCAGACCTTTACTTTCAAACATTTACGGAAACTTGGTCTCTGACTTGGCAGGCTGTCCCAACCCTGTCTCTGCTCCTTCTGGTCCATCATGTCTCTCACCATTTGGAGGCTAGTTCTTCCATAATAACCTTTAATACAGCTGACCATGGACCACATGTTCACAATGGAGCACTAATCTCATGCATCAGAAGGACACAAAGTGCTAGTTACCCCTAAGGGAGCTGTGACAGGAAAAATTTACCTCCTAGTTTTTAAGATAGCGAGCACCCTGAGTCCGCAATCAACTAATCTTTCTTTGTATACCTATAGTTCATGCATTCTTTCCTAGAAAAGAACAGAGTCCTTCTGCACACTATGAAACAGAAACCAAACCTCTTTTCACAGTTTGATCCCTGTATTTAAGTGCCCAGTTTTATGTTTGCTTCATTGTTCTTTTTTTATTACTTAAATTCCATGTATGAGTGAAATCATATGGTATTTGTCTTTCTCTGAAGGATCTGTTTCACTTAGCATTACACCCTCTAGGTCTACCCATGTTGTTATAAATGACAACGTTTCATTTTTTCAATGGCTATGTTCTACCATATATATAAATGGACAATTGGGTTGTTTCTATATCCTGGCTATTGTATATAATGTTGCAAAAAACATAAAAGTACATTTATCTTTTCATATTTCTGCAAAGAAGAAGCTTTTGCACAGCAAAGAAGATCATCCACAAAACAAAAAGACTACTTACTGAATAGGAGTAGATATTTGCAAATGATATACCCAGTAGGGTTAATATCCAAAATATATAAAGAACTTATGCAACTCAACATCAAAAAATCCATTTGTAAAATGGGCAGAGACTGGGGTGCCTGGGTGGCTTAGTCGGTTAAGCGTCCGACTTTCGCTTAGGTCATATTTCGCGTTTCGTGGGTTCGAGCCCTGCATCGGGCTCTGTGCTGACTTCCAGCTCAGAGCCTGGAGCCTATTTCAGAGTCTGTGTCTCCCTCTCTCTCTGACCCTCCCCTGCTCACGCTGTCTCTCTCTCTCTCCTAGAAATAAATAAAAAATATTAAAAATTAAAAAAAATGGGCAGAGACTAATAGACACATGAAAAGATACCCATCATCACTAATCATCAGGGAGACACAAATTAAAACTACAATGAGATATCACTTACTTTGTCAGACTGGCTAAAAGAAAAAAAGATAAGAAATAATAAGTGTTGGCGAGAATGTGGAGAAAAAAACCTATCATGCCATGTTGGTGGGAACATAAATTGGTGCAGTCACTGGGAAAATAGTGTGCAGGTTTCTAAAAAAAATGAAAAATAGAATTACCATATAGTCCCATAATATCACTACTGGATATTTACTCAAAGAAAACAAAAATAGTTTTCTAGTTTTTTTAATAATATTTTTTAAATATTTATTTTTGAGAGAGAGACAGAGTGCAAGCATTTGAGGGGCAGAGAGAGGGACACAGAATCCAAAGCAGACTCCAGGCTCTGAGTTGTCAGCACAGAGCCTGACACGGGGCTTGAACCCACGAACTGAGATTATGACCTGGGCTGAAGTTGCATGCTTAACCAACTGAGCCACCAAGGTGCTCTTTAATAATATTTTTTAAAGGCTAGTAAGCATCTACAGACACAACTATAAAGTAAACAAGTAAAAGAGAGAGAGGGAGAAAGAGAGGGAGAGAGAGAGAACAAAGACACATCCTTCACTCCACAAAAAGTACGGAACTCACCATGGGAGACCTAGCCTTCCTTGCACTCAAGAGTACTCTCCAAAATTGTGCAGGGACAAGACTGCTTTTAGATGTGATGATGTCAAACTGAATATGTATTGAACTGCTGAGTTCAATGTGTACAGTTTTGGTGCTAACTTAAGTGGAGTTAAGCAACCTGGCTGTGCTGGATCCCATAACTGAAGTACACAGCAATCCCGATCACCATGTAGACACCAAATCGGGCCCAGGTGCCAGCTGTCATCTGCATCATAAGGTAAACATTCACAAAGATGCTCAGTAGTGGGAGGAGAGGCAGAGCAAGGGCCTTAGAGTGAAAGAGATGGGAGCTCTGTGGCTGTCTCCAGATGACCCCAGTGATCCCAGTGATGAGCACCAGGAGTACTATAACCACTGTAATCCACACTGGGTTTCTAGAAAGCAGAACTGGCCACTGGGTCAACACCAGGCAAAGAAGAATGACTAGCAGAGCAAGCAGTGAGGAGCAAACATAGACAACCTGGCCAGAGAGTACAGTGGGAGAGTAGCTGCCTGGAAAAAGTAGTCCCTGTAGAGTGAGCTTCTTTTCTGCAGGTCTATTCTCCTCCTGCACCTCTGCTTTACTTCCTCCATTCCTCCTCTCAGGCTGATACCTGACGATGAGAACACAAATAGCTACCAGGGAATGATTAAACAGGGTCCCAATGGACACAAAGTCCACAAGATGAATGAGTTCAAAAAACAATGCAATGACTGCTGCCATGATGCCCAAAACCACAGTGGCCACAATGGGGATATTTCTGCTAGTGTGGGTCCTGGCAAGGACACGGAACAGGAGGCCATCGTTTGCCATCATGGAGATCACCCGACGTGCATAGAACATATCATTCAAGATGGTAGTAAAAAGAGTACACAGAGCTCCAATAGCCACAACATAGCAGGCAGGCTCCCAGCCAATATGGAGAAATGCCTCAGGCAAGGGACTCCCAGGTTGGAGCTGGTAGTAAGGCACCATAAGTGTAAGTGCTAAAGAGACACCAAAATACACCAAAAAGCAAATGAAGAGTGAAATCACAATGCCCATGGGGATGGAACTCTGGGGATTCTGGACTTCTTTCACTCTGGTAACAATATTGTCAAAACCTATAAATGCATAGAAATAGGTAGCTGTTCCACGGAGAATCCCCTCGAAGCCAAAAGGTACAAATCCTCCAGAGCCCAGAGGGCCCAATGTTGATGTGTCATTGAGTCCAGCCTTTATGTAGTCCTCTTCTGTGAGCTTCCAGTTGTGAACGTCCCCCTTAATGAAGCCAGAGATTATGACAAAGCCAAGAATCAAAAGGCTCACCAATGTGATCAATTTAGTAAACCGTACTGACTCCCTAGCTGTCAGAGTCAACACTCCAGTGAGCAACAACACGAGACCCATAGCAAAGAAGTCTGGATATTCGGCAAGTACCTGCTGAGCATGCAGTAAGATGCTCTCACGCAGGGTCTGAGAGATCTGGTTCCCAATCAGGTAGTCAAAAGCTATTGTCCAGGCCCGAGCTACACTGGCTGTGCCAGCAACATAGGAGACGATGAAGTTCCAGCCAGTCATGAAAGCCCAGACCTCACCTATAGTGACATAGCTGTAGAGATACGCAGAGCCAGAATGGGAAACCCGGACAGCAAACTCTGCATAGCCCAGCCCAGCCAATGCACATGATAGGCCAGCCACCAAAATGCAGATCACAGTGGCTGGTCCTGCTTGATTGCTGGCCACCTCACCAGCCAGGACATACACACCTGCACCCAGTGTGTAGTCTATACCCAGAGCCACTAAATCTAGAGTGGTCAGCCGTGTGGGAGGGGTAGGCTCAGTTGTCTTTTCCTCCAGTGCATGTCTTCGTACCAGCATTTGACCAAATCTGCGAAGTGCCTGACTAAGCATTCTAGCTGGAACTGAAGAGGGTTCTAGGATCATAGAGCTGCAGCAAGTCCAGGGAGTGGAGAGTCTGGGATGAGTGGAGAGTCTGGGATCATATTCAGTGAGGCTGAGTTAAACTGATGGTTTTGGGCTTCTGAGTTTGGCTTCTCAGGCTTTAAAGCTGCTACATTGTATTTCTTCTGGTATGTGCTGTCTTCCACATGCCTAAGTAAACAATAAATATTTACTGAACTCATTTCCCAACCAAACGCTCAGAAGTCCCATAAGCACCTGTTGCAGCACAGATATTGCAGAAAGTGATACCAAAGGACATCATAGACAAATCAACCCTGCTTTCCCCTGAAAAGAAGTGCCAAATACCTCCCACATCCTGTTACTTTACACACCACATGACACAATCCCCTTTGGGCTCATCTAACTCCTGCAGCTTCATGTACTAATTAAGCTATTAGAGGGACACCTGGAGGACTTAGTCGGTTAAGCACCTGAGTCTTGATTTTGGGTTAGGTCATGATCTCACAGTTGTGAGGTCGAGTCCTGCATTGGGCCACATGCTGGAAAGGGAGTCTGCTTAAGATTCTCTCTCTCCCTCTCCCTCTGAGCCTCATTCACTCATACTCTCTAAAAAGCAAAGAAACAAAAATAAAGCTGTAAGACACAACAGAGCATGAATTTATTGTGCATAATTCACATGTGGGATGTTTTCATGGTGCTTGAGCATGAGTTATGACACATTAATTCACAGACTAGAGGGTCTCATTGAAATTAAAGAATGCATTTTTAAATATTATCATCACCACGGACAAATGGATCAAGAAGATGTGGTTTATCTATACCATGGAATACTACATGGCAATGAGAAAGAATGAAATCTGGCCATGTGTAGCAACATGGATAGAACTTGAGGATGTTATGCTGAGTGAAATAAGTCAGGCAGAGGACAGATACCATATGTTTGCACGTATAGGAGGATTAGGAGGAACTTAACTGAGGACCATGGGGGAGAAGAAGGGGGGAAATGGTGGGGGAAAAGGAGAGAGGAAAACCATGAGAGACTCTTGAATGCTGACAAAAACTGAGGACTGATGGATGTGGGGGGGAGGGGGGATGTGGGCATGGAGGAGGGCACTTGTGGGGATGAGCACTGGGTGTTATATGGAAACCAATTTGACAATAAACTATATGTAAAAAAAAAAAAAAGTAACCACACCATGGCTCATGTTAGTACGGTTATTAAAATTCCATATTCTTATTATCATTTTGTGGGACGAACAGAAACTAGTAAACCAGGACCCTAGACTTCAACCCCAGATATATTTGGGAACATGAGAAGAAACTGGAAGAAGAGAAAAATGATATCTGGAAAATAGAAGTACCAGGTATTTGTGCAAGATTTAGGGATATGTGGGAGGGGGTGAAAGTGAACCAGAATTTGTTGAGCTGCAGGTAAGGTACATATGTTATTTCATTTTTCCCCCATAACAGCCCAATGACATAAGTATAATTATTCCACTTTACAGAATGAGAGCTTAGACAACTGTTCCAAGCTCATTTAGCTAGTACAAAGGAGAGCTAGAAATTGAATTTGGTTCTTTATTGCTTCAAAGACTATGTTCTTTCTCCTGAGCACCCTACCTTCACAAAGAGGCAAGACTCTAGGGAATTGTTATTAGAGGAGTATGTGAGCCAGTTCTTTTATTTGTGCCAAGGTCACCTTTTGCTAATGCCTTCCTTTCCTCACAAATAGATATTGATGAGCCAGAACTGGAAGCAGTGAGACTATCAAAACTAAAATCTCCAAATAAACCTTGTCCTGCTAAAATCCAAACCTAATCTAATCTAAGGCCAAAATGTCTTCAGACTATCCCTTTGTATTCCAAGAAAGATTTCAAAGCATTGCTGTAGTTATCTGAGTAGTTTCCAGATAGATTTTACAGTTAATTGTAATTCCTGCCCACAATGTTAGCCCGTCTCCTTTTGCTTAGCTTGTAGTGGAATTATAGGATAATAGATTTCTACAGGCCAAACCTAAGTCATCCTCCTAGGAGTTCTTTCATCATCTTATCCTTTCATCATTCTATTCCAAGTCTTTTCTGGACGCTGCCTCATTCTTAAGAAAAAGAATAATCTTCAGTACACTTAGGGAGTGTTAAAGAAGAAAATGAAACCTTTACTCTCATTGTGTAAAGGAAAATGAGGATGGGGAGCAGACATTTACTAAAACGGGAGTCAAATGGCAGGAAGATAATTGTAATTTCCCTGACAGCTAAATACCTACAGATTTTACCTTCCCAAACTTCAGCCATCATTGAGGCTTCCAGTTGCTGCTGACACACACCATCAGGAAACATCTGTCCAAAAGGACAGCCCAAACTGGGACAAAAGACAGTAGGAAGGCATATGTTGCCAGTTTAACAAAGCATCTTTTTAAAGTTTATGTATTTATTTTGAGAGAGAGAGAGAAAGAGAGCAAGAGAGAATACTAAGCAGACTCTGCACTGTCAGTGTAGATCACAATGTGAGGTTTGAATTCAGGAACCGTGAGATTGTAACCTGAGCTGAAACCAAAAGCCACACGCTTAACCAACTGAGTCATCTAGGTGGCCCTAACAAAACATCTTTATAAGACTCCTAATCCCATTTTCTCCCCAGACTTGTCTGTCAATCGCAAGCAGAATGGGAATGTTTTCCAGAGAACAGCCATTTCCTTTTTATGCTTAATTCAGAAGAACAAGTACCAGAAAAAATTCAGCTTTCATGCTCCAAAATATGATTAACCCTATTCCAGATCTAAAATAGCAAGGAGATGCTAGTGAAAAGGACTTCAGTTATGTCTGGTTGATCATTCTGGTTTGGTTGTTGTTGACAACCAGAGACTTGACTTAGTAGAACATATAAAATGGTCATTAATTAGTGTTCCCATTGTGATCCATGTCTGTGGCCAGCTCTGAGCTCACAGCACCTACAGCATTGCTAGTATTTATTAATCATCCCTGGATATAAGCACAAAGAAGAATGAACATCAGGCGTCAACACAGATGCCTTTGTGTATTTTATGATCTTGTCACAATTGTTTTAAACTTATTACTGAATATAGGCTTAAGATAAGGAATAATCAGTATTCTGAACATGTTATTAGTATAGAAAGATCAACAGAGAAAATAAAGGATTACATTTCTATTTTAATTTCAATGGAAAACACCAAGTAGGCCCAGAAACAAAGGGTTGACAAAGCAGACTCAAAGGATCCTGACTTTTTAGAGAAATTCCATAAAAATTTGGAACAAATCTAAGAAATTCCAACTGTAATCCTTGGTTTCAGACTTTTGGGGATCGCCAAACTAGCCCTTAATTCAATTCAGATGATATGAAGTCCCTTAGACATTTAGCACCTGTCTACACTAGACCTCAATATAGTAGGTTCTGACACTTTGCAAATACTGCATATCCAGGGCTAGCTTCCTTCAGTACTCCCTAGCCCAACCTCCTGGTCCATAAAATTGGTAACTCTAAACAGAGATCCTCTCAACTGTCACTCAGATTCACTAAGCAGCCACCAGAGTACTGTCCTTGAAGCAGGATAAAGCCATAAATCATACTCTTCCTGATCACTACACTGCATTAGATAACTGAAGTGTGAGTGCTCTCTACCTTCCTGGAAAATGACACTTCCCTCAAGTCTTAAAAAGACACATGCATGTACGTGTGCGTGCACACTCACACACACACACACACACAACTTCGAACAGACTTGCAATTTTCTGTTCTCTATTAAGTTGAAATTGCTAACATTGTATTTCTAAGTCTTTCTTTCCACTTTTGTTCTATCACTTACTCCTACTATTAAACTTTTCTGTGACTCTTTCCATGAACAGGACAAATCTTTCCCAACACTTGCACATGTTGCAGGAGTTGACATGAGCCCTCACACAGTCTGTCCTTCTCTGCCTAGAACACACTCTTGCCAAACCTTGTCCACATGACCTTCCTTCTGGAGGCTTCTATGGTCACATCTATAGATAGATATCTGATCTCTCCAGTAGCTTTCCTTGCCTCCTGCTCTCTAATTAATGTCCAGCGGAATAACTCACAGGCCTAGAACTTTGCACAAGGAGAACACTCAGTTAGAGAAGAAGGCAGGAGTAGAAGGCAGGAGTATGTATGGCTGAGGAGCAGAAATTCTTCCTGATGATGCCTTCATCTTGCATTCTCTTCCCCAGTTGAATCCTGAGGTACAAAGAGTTACTTGTCTACAGCCAAGGAAGGAAGTACTCCAAGCTCTATAGCCCAGTTAGAGATAGTTTGGTGATATCAGAGATCTGACACAAGAACTGAGGTCTAGGTCTCTTTCATCTCAACAAAGGGAAAGGAAGTAACCTACAAAGGAAGTAACCCACTAAGCTGGGATAAAGTATAATATCTGTGAGATTTATGATTTCCTCCAGTGTCATCTCCTTGAACGTGTCACAGATGAACAGACAATACAGAGTTTTATTACTTCCACTACTTTATTTGTAAAATAAATCACCTAAAGCTTTGGCATTAGGCAACATGTCATGATACTCAAACTGCAGTCACTTCATTTAAGGCTACTTTGGAGAAGGATGGGTACCATAGTCAAAGAATTGACAGAGAAGACAGGGAAATGCAACATTTCTCACTCATGATTTGACACATTTACATCTTTATTTTCAGTCAGAATCCCGTTTGGAAATTCTTAACATTTCTATCATCACATCAAAACATGATGACCAATCAATCTGACAAGTCAGAAAAGCATAAGCTTCTGCATATAGAGGTCTTCAGAAACTAGATGGGCTGCCAGAAACAATGACAGTTTTCAAACAAGAATCAGAAAAAGTGGGGAAAAAACAGGAAGAATGTGCAGTTAAGGGATTAGAAAGTGATGTGATACATTGACGTCAACAGTGAAAATAAATTTCTTCCCTATTTCCCCCTATGATTTATAACATCCCTTTCTCAACCGTGGATCCTGTCAACACTGAATACCTAATAAAAGTCCTCAGGAGAAAGCAGTAGAAGGAAACCCTGTCCACCTTATT